GTTAACTCTGATCCAAGGTGCCCAATTTTCTCTCCGAGGAAATTTTCTCAGCAGAAAATTAATGTAACAGTGGGATCATTTTACCATGGGAGGGGAGTAGGGCAGTCTAAGAGTGGGCATAGAAAAGCATATTTGATTTAAATGCTATGTACTGACGGAGGGAGCACCCAGAATAGCATTTTCCTATTATTTTCATCACTATCAGAGATGTGATTAATCTGGGTTATTTTCTCATGCACTTGGCCATCAACCCAGAAGATTCATTTTGTTTATGAAGAGCTTTTGATAGCTAGCAAATTTTATACAATATCTTTACAAGGGTTTAAAGATCTTATTTATAAACACTAAGTTACATGTCTAGGAGCTACGATGGTACAGTGTCTAAGATATTTGACTGCTAACCAGATGGTTGGCAGTTCAAAACCACCAGCCACTCCAGGGAAAGAAGCCAGGGAAACTACTTCCGTAAAGATTTATCATCTAAGAAACCCAATGGCAGTCACTATGACTCAGAATCAACTTGATGGCAGTGGGTTTGGTTTTATGGTTTTGTTAAGTTACACATGATAAGTCCCCTTTGATTTCACAAGTGATTTGAATTTGATTTAAAATATGTAGTCTCTTAACTTGAAAAGCTAGATACTGACTATGATTGAATAAGGCGTTGAAATCTTCCTGTGTAATATTAAGTGAAAGGAAAGGATAATTGTTCAAATATATTAATACACTCAGTCATTGGTAATAATTCTTGGGAAATTCCTTCCGTTTCTGGTAGCTGATCTTATTTCAGGGTAGATGTGAAAATCAGAGAAATTATGATGAAAATCCATGGTTATTGTGTAATTAGAGGGAGTAGGGAGTAGGGAATCATTAGGAGCTCTGGTGGCCTAGTTCCTAAGGCGTTAGACTGCTAACCAGAAGGCTGCTGGTTCAAACCCACCAGCCACTCCTCAGAAGGAAGGTTGGACAATCTACTTCCATAGTGATACCACCTTGGAAACCCAAGGAGGGGTCGCTATGAGTCGGATCCGACTTGATGGCAGTGTGTTTGGTTTTTTGGTTTAGGGAATCATTTATTCACTTGACCTTTATAAAACTACCAATGGCCAAAACATGTTTTTGGTACTTAAAATAGAATTAAACAAAACAGTTAACTAAAAAAAAAAAAAACTAAAGACAAATGATGGCAGTATTTGAGGAGATAAGGAAAAACAAAATTTATAAGACACACAACAACCAAATATAGCCGCAGTGAAAAAAACAAAACAAAGAAATCCAGAGACAATTGGGAATCTATTTATTGAGTGCCACGACAGCCCCGGTGGGGTCCGCGTGACATAGTCACCGGTCTGAAGCGGCTGTTTCAAGGAAACTCTAAGCTTCCCAGGGTGAAGTGTGCTCTCTCAATTTTTACCATTTGTTCCTGTTTGCTGATGTTTTTGATAATGTTGTTTGGTTCAATAGTT